GAAATGTCTGGGTAATCACTATATCAACCCTTATAAGACAGAGATGGCGCTGCCTTGGACACATAATGAGAAGAAACAAGCAGAAAATCACCAAACAGGTATTAAAATGGGGAAAACAGGGATTAAGGAGGCGAGGACGCCCAAGAGAAACCCTGAGATGAATGTTGATGAGTGAGGCCAAAGCTGCTGGACTGGATTTGATGCACAATATTAAACTGATTGCACACGACAAGAATGAGAATAAATCAGGCAAATAGTAATGTGGTTTCTCTTAATGGCACCCCACTCCAAGACGTGGAGTCGTACACCTATTTAGGCAGTAATGTAGATAAAGATGGAGGAACTGATAGAGATATTAAAATAAGAATACAAAAGGCAAGAGGGGCTTTCATAGCACTAGGGAATTTGTGGAGGTCAAAAGAAATTAAAAGAAATACTAAACTAAAAATGTTTAATTCTAATGTCAAATGAGTACTATTGTATGGGGCGGAAACATGGAGAACAACCAAGGCAATTACTAATAAATTACAGACATTCATTAACTGGTGCCTGCGCAGAATAGAGGGAATAAAATGGTATGATAGAATAACTAATGTAGAACTTTGGGAGAGAACTAAACAGGCTCCAGTGGATCAGGAAGTGAGGAAAAGATGCTGGCGTTGGATAGGGCACACACTGAGAAAACAGGAGAACAGCATTACTAGAATGTCTTTGCATTGGAACCCACAGGGGCATAGGAATAAAGGAAGGCCAAAAAACACATGGAGAAGAGAGCTGGAGAACGAGGTTAGAAAGATTGGGAGGACATGGGGAGAGCTCCATGCAATGGCGAAGGATAGAACGACTTGGCGTGAGTTGGTTGAGGGCCTATGCTCCATTGGGGGATAGAAAGGCAGAAGAAAAAGAAGACACGACAAGAATGGAATAGAAGAATATACTGAACCATATGTGACATATCATGGCACAAAAGAATAATGAATGAAAGAAATTCAGGTTACAGAAAATTATATACTGTTTATGAGTAGTATTGCTAAGAATGTTAGTATTTTTCCTCTTTTGGGTCCTAGATACTCCAATGATCCTCCAGTAACAGTTAAGCTCTTCTTCTGTGTTAGCCCTTAACAGATCAGTTGGCACATTGTGTGGAGGTTTACAGCTAGTCTGTGATATCTGTAACTCTTGGCCCAATACATCCCATCTCAGTCAACCTCTAATTAGTTGCCTTTTTTGACCTGCTTGTTTGAGGAGGGGGCAATTGGTATTTCCTGCCCCCTTTCCCAAATGAACCCACCAGGGAACATTGAAGTTCAGAGTCACAAGTTTTCTTATTTAGTGGTTGTAAAATAATCTATCACTTGCATTAAAAAACTTTTGTTTTTCTTTCTTTCTTTCTTTCTTTCTTTCTTTCTTTCTTTCTTTCTTTCTTTCTTTCTTTCTTTCTTTCTTTCTTTCTTTCTTTCTTCCTTTCTTTTTTTCTTCCTTCCTTTCTTTCTTTCTTTCTTTCTTTCTTTCTTTCTTTCTTTCTTTCTTTCTTTCTTTCTTTCTTTCTTTCTTTCTTTCTTTCTTTCTTTCTTTCTTTCTTTCTTTCTTTCTTATATTTCTTTCCTTCTTCTCCTCATGCCCCCTTTTTTATATATATATACAACTCTCATTTTTTCTCCCCATATTCCTCTCGTGGTTTAATTTCTGTTCTCCTAAAGTATAGAATTCAATGGGGTGCTTTCAATTAAAAATATTATGCCTGTTTAGCTTTTAAAGTTTGCTCCAGGGGGTGTTGCTTTAATTTTGTTTGCTAACTGAAGCGTAGCAAATACAAGAGACGTTACAAAAGTCTCCCTGAATGTATGTCAAAGTGATGTCTATTAGGCAGTGTTTATTTTAAAAGGCATCATTTATTTTCAAAAAAAGCTTTTATGTGCGAGCTGCACTGACATTGCTAATCTGTGGTTGCTTTAAGAGATCTAAAAGTTTATAAATAAGACTGTCACTCTCACTATGTCTGTGGTGACGAAGACTGACTGAGTGGTGGATTATTCTCATGTGACTGCTAACATTGTTGGTATGATCATTGTGTGAGGCTTTTTTTTCCCTTGTATGTTTATTGGATAATCCTACATGATGTAATTTTCTGAACTCTTTTTTGTCTGATCTATTTATAGTAATTAAAAAAAAAACATTTGAATCTGTGTGTGCTGTCTCTGTTATGAAGATTGGTTACCGTTTATGATTGTTGTCTTTAGAAATATAAAGGAATGAGGCCTTAGTCTCTTCCATAGTGCGACTCTCATACCACTGTTCGAAAACATGGGGGCACATTAAAAAAAAAAAAAAGCTGCCCTCTGTGGAAATAAAACCCAGCATTCATACTGTAGATGGTACAAAACTGTAAATTTTGGTCTAGAGGAACTGTTAAATTCCTACTGTTCAAAACACATTAGGATTAGTCTTTCAGATTTGAAAGTGGATAAATTTAATGTAGCAGTATTGTAGGATAGAAGGGTTTAACACAATATTCGCATAGTATTTCCCTGTTCTGTGTTAGCGCGAGGTAGTGGTGTTTTCAATCAGAAAGTCTTAAGGTGAGTCCTGGCACTATCAACAATTCAGAAGTGAACGCTGATAATGTAGATTCCTGGGCTCCATTTAGGGGTCGTGGGGGTAGGGGGAGGAGACCCACTGCCCCTCTCCCCCAATAAACATGTCATTAAAGCATTATAGGTGACTGATTAAAAGTTTACTGATATGTTGAGCTGAAACGTGCAGTATTGCAGCCTAGATGCAAACTAAATATTACCTGTTTAACTTCCAGAGAAGTTATAATTAGGGCACCTGTAATGGTCCTGGTTTACAATTTTGTTTTGGCCATCATGAAACCAGTCTTATTTAATCGCCAGCTTGTGTACATGTGACCTTCCTTCTGTTTATTATCAAACCACAACATCAGTATAAATACTACTTTGTTTGGCCACTTTTCATCTCCTCTTTTACCTTCTCTTCCTTTTGCTGTTCCTCCTTAACCTCATCTTCCTTTCCTCCTCCTCCTCCTCTTCCTCCACCCCCTCATCTTACTCTTCTACCTCCTCCATATCCTTTTCTTCCTCCTCATATTTTTCTCCTATTTCTCAATTATCTAGTCTGGAGCAGACATCTTGTTACTTGTTGTCCATATCAGCATCCTAGACCAGTGTTTCCCTAACTTTTCTTGGTCGCAGCACCTTTTTTCAGTTACAATTTTTCCACAGCTCCCTAACCTAAGTAAAAGTTTGACTATTCGTGTCTTTGTTGAATTAATTATAAAGCTTTCACAATATTTCCAGTTTCAGAATCACTTTCCTAGAATATTGATCTGACCCATTTATGCTACATCCTCTGATGCAGCAGTCATCCCAGTGTCTTCAAATTCACTGTCTCCATCAGGAGTTGATTGGTATATATTCCTGTATGGGTTCATGGGCCCAGTTGTGTTGAAAACAAGAATAGACCCACTGCCTGCCCAAAAACATGTTGTAAGAGTCAGACTTATTGGGAGCTTCCTTCGAAGTCAGAGCACATCTGCCAGACAGGTAAGGAACCAACAGTCTGCATGCAAATGAGTCAGACCTGTGAGATGTACATCCAAAAGTCAGGTTCTGGAACAGGACTAGAGTTCAGAAGTGAACGAACAACCAGAACTTTCCGCCGGAGGTTACAGCCTGTGCTTGCACAGAAGAAGAAGAAGATTGGCAAATATTCTTTCTTTGCCCAGCAACCGGATTGTGCATGCTTGTCCTCTTCTACCTTACTGCTAATTTATTTTATGTCACGGATGATGACTCTTCAATCTTCCTTTTTATCACATATTTTTTGTTGAAGTTACTTATGTTATGATTTTTTGCCCATCTGTTGAAGCTTTTCACGTTTATTTTGCTTAGTATAGTTTTTTTAAGTATCTTCTGACATGAAGTTACTGAAAATTGTGTCAAGCAACATGCCATATAGTTTATCCACAAGATTATTGGCTCAAAATTAAGAGTTAAGCCACCTGTTATATACGTCGACCTTCGTACATACGGTTAGCTATCAGTGGCCTAACAGGTCTGCCGATATATAAAGCTATGGCCTGACCCCTAGGAAGTTGGAACTGACTACCTTACTGTAGTTCTTGATTAAATTCACAGAGCGGTAAAGTAATTTTTTTGGAAAAAGCTAAGCAGAGTAGAACATTATGTACAACTCCATGGCCAAGAGATTAAGCTGTTTGCATCTTGCTCAGAAAGTTGTTAGTTTGATCTATGAGTATGCATGGCTTAGGGCTACAACAAACAACTCTAAATAGAGGAAGAAATACAGGAAACACAAAAAGGATCTGATTAGCTTTTAGTGAAGACTATCGTCACAGCACTCCAGTAAGATCCACAGGTGCTCTGACCTCCTCTTCAGTGGCTCTACAGGAGTAAAACAACTCATCACATCCATGCTGTGTTGATTAATCAGAGGTTTTGTGCCTCTGGTAAAATGCTCATGTTTGCATGCCCGAGACTGAACCCCAATGTCCACCAACCTGGCCAAGGATACCAAGTCCTGCTTTTTACTCTCTAGTTGTTGTCCCCTGACACATCCAGAGAAGATGCTCATAAATGTTAAGAGCTGATTTTACTTTCTGGTGGTTACCGCTAAAACATCCAGGGAAAAGGCTCATAAATGTTTAGAGCTGATTTTACTTTCCGGTGGTTACCCCTGAAACATCTAAAGAGAAAATGCTCATAAATGTTAAGAGCTGATTTTACTCTCCAGTGGTTACCCCGGAAACATCCAGTGTCACTGTAGCTTACATGCCTTTCTTGTCTAGTATTTTCCCACATACAGTTAATTTCCTTATTTCACCTCTCCTTTTCAAAAATACCTTAAAAATTGTTAAATGAAGTTAAAAGTTTATAATGTGTATATTATTTTTCCTGTAGTTCATTTGCAACTGTCTGGAATTCCATGAGAGATGTTGCATCTTTGAGCAGATCACCACAATGCCCAAGTCTCGGACAATTTTCATCATTATATGTATATGTGCTGCTTTTCTTCTATTGCAGTTTGTTGGTCTTAAGGTGAGAAACTTGGTGTCTTAAATTGAGTAACAGTAAATGATTCATTTTACACCATTGGTGCCTTAGGCTAAACTAAAGAAAAAGGGTAGGCACAGTGCTGGTAAATGATTTAATAGAAAATCAAAGAATCAAATGATTTGATCATCTGGTCTGAGTAGAACAATTACAGCCAGGAGCTAGAGCATACTGCGTTGAGAACAGCAGGCTACAAGTCAAGAGGCTGACCAAGAAAGAGATGGTGAGAAGAAGTATAACATACTACAGAGATACAGTATGACATTAACACAAGTTATGCAACCAGCAAAAGACAGGAAACTACATCTAGTTCCTCTGTGCAAAATTTACAGCATAAACAGTTGGACAGGTCAAGAGGCTGACCAAGAAAGAGATGGTGAGAAGAAGTATAAGATACTACAGAAATACAGTATGACATTAACACAAGTTATGCAACCAGCAAAAGACAGGAAACTTCATCTAGTTCCTCTGTGCAAAATTTACAGCATAAACAGTTGGACAAAGGAAGAAAAAATATGGTGCGTAAGGCAAGCGTGGCTTGACATACATTATTTATAGATCGTTCGGGCACTTGTTGGACAATGTGATAAATTTTGCACCAGCCACCGTTACTTTTCTGATCCCTATTTTAGAATTGATCAGCCTGGAGCCAAAGTAAATTATAGACATCTGCCTGGGTGGGGTTTCAAACTGAAGACCACATAGTTAGAAGACAAATATTTAGTCACTGTGCTGCTGTGGTTTCAAGTTAGTTTGTGTATCTTTTACAAGATGTTGCAGAACAAATCCCAGTATTTTTTTTTTCAATGATTTTTCTGGGCAAATATTAAGCTAAGCAGTTTGCCATTGCTTTTTAAATGGTCAGCTTTCAGTACCACTATCGAAACCAACGCAAGATGTTCTGCTGACTGATTCTCAAGCATAATACAAACATGATAAACCTCCATTCCATGAGAGGATAAATAGGCCTCCTCTTTCTACATGCTTGATGAGGGCGTGACCAGTATCTTGCCCATTGCTTTTAACTCTTGAGTACCAAGCAGAATTGGCTTATAAACAGTGCCCTATCCTGAAGCTGAGGTAAATTGGCCATGTTAAATGTTGTGATAGCCTGGTGAGAATGAGATGGATTGTGCAGTTCCTGGAACACGAGGCAGAAGCAGATCTCTGGGAAGGCAGATATTAGATATTGAAGATGCATTGGTTAAGAAAGCACATAGGGCTGGAGAATTGGATAGAGAGACTTTTCCAGCCTGCTGTGACAGGAGCAACATTCTGTAAAGGCCCTGCTGACTGATGATTCTCAAGGGACACATCTTGTTTTGATTTATATCTAACTCTGCTCTGGTACCAAAAGAGTTAAATTCCAAGTACAAATTCTAGTATCCAATTTGTGTAGATGGATCCACTCAGGAGTTTATGTAAGTACAGAAAAATCAGTGCCTGATTAGCCATATGAGTAACATTCATACTGTTTGTGGCGGCCCTTATAGCTTGATGTTTACTGACAGAACTTTCCCTGTGTGGGTTCTAGGGCTCTGTTATAAGGAAAACAGGAATAGACCTAATGCTTACATAAAAGCATGTCGTAAGAGTCGACTAATTGGGAGCTTCCTTCGAAGTCAGAGTGCATCTGCCTGAGAGGCACAGAACCAGCAGTCTGCATACAAATGAGTCAGATCTGTAAAACGGATGTACATGCAACACTCAGGTTCTGGAACAGGACTGCAGTCCAGAAGTGGGTGAACAACCAGAACTTTCTGCCAGAGTTTACAGCTGGTGAACGCAAAGAAGAAGAACTGTCAGAACTTTTAGGTGCTGGGCTGGATTCCATCCATGATGTTGAAGTGATTACACAGGGTAGAATGGAATGAAGGAATAGACTGTGAGCCCTGTGTGATATATAATGGCACAACAGGGCAGTGATGATGATGATGAATGAGTCGGCCTGAGACTGGCTGTCTCACCTTTTAGTAAATGTTACCCTTTTTAAACATGAAATCCAGCAAGGTGTGTAATACTAGTAAGGAACCATGTCTGTGGGGAGGTAGCTTTGGTGTGAGCAAGTCAGTCTTCAGCACAAAACATACAGACTGGCTGTTAAGTCTTAATTAACAGTTTTCCTTCAAAGGCCACAAGTATTTTAGTTTCAACAAATGCAACTTAGGTGATCAGTCAGAAAGACCACTCATCGTCCATTTTTTGCTACTTTTGTAAAATTCTGACCACAGTGTAAGCAAGGATAAAAGAATTCTGTATATGTAGACCAATGGCAGAATCCTTCACTTCCCTGAAGTGACCACAATAAATGGCCTTTGTCCGGATTTATGCATTCAAAAAAGACATGGTTGTGAACTTGAGCTTGCCCTGGCCAAACAGGCAGTTTCTTATTAGTAGGGTTGATTTTTTATTTCAGGTATAAAGAATTTATTTCTTTGCAGACAAACATTGCTTTAAGAATGTTTATTATCAACAAACCAACCTTATGCTCAGATGGAAGAAATATTTTCAATTTTAATTATTTCAGTAATCTTTTATACGGTAGTAAATTCCTCAGTAGGCTCTTCATTGTTTGAAGGTAATTTTCTAGTAAACTTTAGATCTTTTCTCAAGGCCATTCCATCGTAGTGGATAATGAACAGGCAGATAGATTGGCTGGATCTGCACCACCGGTGGTGCATTGATACATGACAAGGCAGATGTGGTCAAGGCCCTTTGAGAACAAGCAACGGAATCAGTAGAGAAAGAAGATTATTATGGCCTAGAGAGAATGAGGCATCTGGGTATAACTTGAGGGTGTGGCCGGCTCACTACACTGAGAGGAAAGGCAAGATGGACATATAACCAGATTATGACCAGTATCATCAGCATTGGAACTCTGCGGTGGCTGTTGAAAATGAGGACTGAGCACACATGGGAATGCCCTAAGTGCTATAATGTCAATTCTTGACTCAACTCAACTTTTAGTAACTTACCTTTTTAATTACAGTACTCTTTTCTCATTTTTGTAACATTTCAGTCATATTTACTTTCTTTATCTGACTTTTCCAGTTTATATTTGATAAAGTAAATCCAAAGCAGTTTCTTGAGGAGCTTCCTCCATGGGTATGTTGAAACATATATATTAAGCTTGAATACTGTTTTATGTTGAGAATGGCAAGTAGTCTTGCAGGTTCAGTGTTCATAGCTGATCATTCCCTGTGTTAATTCCGGGACTCTGCTGTCGGGAAAACAAGAATAGACACGCTGCCTCCCCAACAAGCATGTTGTAAGAGTGGACTAATTAGGGGTTTTCTTTCGAATTCAGAGTGCATCTACCTGAGAGACGAAGAATCAGCATGCAAAACTTGAGTTCTGGAACAAGTCTAATGTCCAGATGGGGATGAACAACCAGAACTTTCCGCCTGAGTTTACCGCCGGTGAATGCAAAGAAGAAGAAGATAGCTGACAATTTACACCAATAGTGAGCTGCATTTATGATGTGGGATGTTAGTGTTGGCACATCTGATAGCTGCCTTGTGCATTTTTACTTTGCCTGTGCAAGCTTCAGATTTTACTAGGACCTACAGATGTTTCACTGGTTTTTAAATGGGACAGCGAAGGACATTTTGATGATTTCTACTGCTACAGTAACCAAGTATTTATGGTGCGACTCATCCACAGTGATGTTGTAACCTGGACCAGCTAACTAACTATGTAAAACATGTGAATACTAGAGTGTGTGAGCTCATGATTCTACGAGAAATTCCCCCCCCCCTCCCTGTGTGTATAAGAGAGAGAGAGAAACAGTGTATGTGTGCACACACGCTCCCAATCCTCCGACACATCAACTACCACAAGGTACCTCTGCTGACAGTTGCCATGATGAAGTACCTTGACCTCAGAAACGGTTCTTTGCAGGTTTGCAAGCGCATGATCACAAATATGGGAGTATGTTTTCTATGACAAATCTGCAACAGACATTGAGAAAGGGGACTGCTTCAGTGTGTGATATTGTTTTTGGACAGTACCAAACAGCTTTCAGCTTGAGATTCAGTTGTATACACGTGGCATAATTATAACCAGCTCACAAATCATGTTGAAAAAAGAGGTAGACTGGTATGCTCCATGAACAGTGCAAACATTGCTTCAGAGGTCCAGGTAGTTGAGGTCCTTTGATTTCTCCAGGTGTGTCAGTGTATTAGGAAATGAACACACAGATAGACTGGCTGGCTCTGCACAACTTGGTGATGAATGGATGCATGACAAACTGGATGTTGTAAGGTCACTTTTGGGGGGGGGGAGGGGGGGGGGGACATTGTTTCAAATGTCCATGTTAATATGTTAATATTGTTCTCAGGAAGCCGTCAAGTTGTTCCTCAGCAAGTGTGATTCATCAGGACTAGCTGCATTTATCATTGAGCCAAGTTTGTTGCGGGCTGTGAGGGAAGGCAGCTTGAGGAGAATTGAGCTCTGGAACCAGGAGCACCACGACTCTGTAGCATTTGGAGTCATAGAGCCAGGACTGGATAAGCTGGTAGGTGGAAGTGTAAAACTACTGTCTGTATTCAACACTTTAGGGTAGCAATGGTATAGGAGTGGGCGAGCCTGAGGATTTAAAGCTGCATGGCTAGTGAAGTCACAGTGATCTGTGGTTAGAATTATTTGTCCCCATGTGTGTCCATGTTCTCTTATTTGTGGAAATGAATAGACCCACTGTCTCCCTAAGAAAGTTGTCATCAAAAGTGACTAAACAGGGGTATCCTTTTTTGAAGTCAGGCGCATCAAAGAACCAACAGTTGACATGCTAGTAAGTCAGATCAGTAAAATGGATGTACACCCAAAATTCAAGTTCTGGAAAAAGACTAAAGACCAAAAGTGAACGAATGACCAGAACTTTCTGCCAGGGTTTACAGCCATAAAAGCTAAGAAGAATTCTTTGGACCCTACCAGAAAGACAAAACTAACAAAACAGTGTCATAATCTTACTGATGATTTGAACCCAAGTCTCCCAAATGAGAGCTTGGCATTCTGACAATCTGTCCAGCCACTCCTCACATCAGTGTCTACAGTTCTCCCTAGTCGTTGACACGTGCTCACGACTGACCGCCACGACAGGAAGACAGTTACATAAAATTTATTGGTGCAGTTACCAGCCAGTCGGGTAATGTTCCATTTCGCTTGAGTATCAGCAAATGAATCACAATAACACAAATGTTCTCCGACACTAGACTTTCAGAATCAATTCTCCTCAGTCATTCGAACTTTCAAAATGATGTTCCTTCAGTCCACAATGACGTTCCCCTCAGTCACACCATCAAACAACCTACCTCTCACATGGTCAAAACACAACTGACTCTACCTTGTCTTTCCATTCAAAACATTGTTCCAGTCTCCACACTTTTTTAATTACACATGAACACAGAACCTGCGGGACATGCGTTTTCCCCCGTGTCTCTTGTTTTCCTGGCCCTCTGACTTTCTCCCCTCAATTGATAAACTCTCTGGGATTCCCTGGGAATTCCCATCATTGCAATCACTGACCCATCGCTGATTCATTCATTCATTCAGTAGCATGTCCCTCACGGAACCTCGCTGCCATAACAACCCTCCGGAAAACCTTCCTATCCTGAGCAAGATGTCCTGCGTCTGATACACCCATCTGGAGATCATCTGCCACATCCTGCACCCATCTTCTCCTTGGCCTTCCTCTTCCTCTCTTCCCAGGCATATACCCCTCCATTATTGTTCTCTCTAGACTTCCATGACGTTTCAAGTGACCAAAATATTTCAATTTTCTTTGTTTTATTGTCTTTACTAGCCAACCCTCTTCAATATTCAGCTCTTGAAGTATGGATGCATTTGTTCTTTTCTTTACCCAAGATATTCTTAGAACCTGTCTGTAAACATTTATATTCAAATGCATTTATGCGCTGTTCCGCTTGTTTAGTAAGTGTCCAGGTCTCACAGGCGTATGTTGCAATGGGAAAGATGCATGCTCTTAAAAATCTGACCTTTGTAATTCTATCTGTACAATTCCATAATTTATTCAGTTGTTTTAGTCTTTGAAGAGCAATTGATAGTCGCCGTTTAATTTCTTTAATTGTGTCACCATTGTTGGTAACCAGTGACCCAAGATATTCGAAATTTTCCACCACTTCCAATCTTTCCTCATTAACATATATTTCCTTCTCCATGGCAGTTTTGTTTGTATGCATTATCTTTGTTTTTGCTATGTTAAGAAATAAGTTATGATTTTCACTATTTCTTTGGAGTGAGGTTAATAAGTTTTCTAAACCATTTTGTGATGTTGATAGTAATACTGTATCATCAGCATAACGAATTTCTGGTATTTCATGACCACCGATGTTTAGGGCATCATATTGTTCCTTGTTTATATCATCTCTTACATTTCTCATTATATTTTCGGCGTACAGGTTGAACAAATACGGTGACAGCACACATCCCTGACGGACTCCTTGCTTGATGCCAAACCAGTCTGATGTCTCTCCATCTATTCTGACTGCTGCTTGTTGGTCTTGATAGAGCATTTTAATGAGCTGCACTATATGTGATGGAAAGCATCGCTGATTGGTCTATAAAAATATAGGTCTAGCCCTACATGCCCAATATGCCTGAAAGGTGTGGAAAAGAGTCCTTTACTTTATTTTTTACTGCATTAAAGCAATGTTTCCCCATTGTAAATTTGAACATAGAAGACACAGACAATAGATTGCACAATTTATTTCCTGGCATATTTCGCTGTATCTCGTCAGGTGCATACAAAGCAGTAACTATTAAAATGAAGCAAATAAGTGAATCCTTTACAACCACTCTCAAAAACACTTGCTTGTTTTACCAGGGCATGTACAGGTTTACTAAGAAAGACAAGATAAATTGTGCAATCTGTTACTTGTCTTTGTTCAAATTGAGACTATATCTTGCATTATTGTGGTCAAATGTACACCGTTCAGTTGTTTTGCTTTTCCATCATTCCAGCACCTGGTATTGTCAGCAATGAAGCAACACGGCTATGAATTCTGGGAAAAGAGTGACCCCGACCCACGTGGGATGACTGCCTTGTCCCGCAAGTCCTACAGAGTTATCCCCACCCACTGCTTGCTGTGGGTTTCGCTGGAAGGCCATACTCCCATGTTGATTCACTTGGTGATCTTCTACAAAAGAGAAAGCTACCTGTGGCATGCAGCTGGACAAGACCGTGACCACTTACCACCTTACAGTATTGATGAGTCCATATTTGCAAAAACTCCTGGATCCTATAGTGTGTTAGTAAATATTCCACTGATAATAATCTTTCTTCCTCCCTTCCTTCCTTATTTCCTTCCTTCCTTTCTTCTTATTCTTCTTCCTCCCCCCCCCCCTCTTCTTCTTTTTCTTCTTCTTTTTCTTCCTCCTCTTCTTCTTCTTCTTCTTCTTCTTCTCTGTCTTTTTCTTCTTCTTCTCCCTCCTTCTCATCTGCTTCTTCTTTCCCTCCTCCTCCTCTGCTTCCTCCTCTTTCTCCTCCTCCTCTTTCTCCTCCTCTTCTTCCTCTTCTTCTTCTTCTTCCTCCTCTTTTTTCTTCTTCTTCTACTCCTCATCCTCCTTGCTCTTCTTTAAGTGCCTGAGCTAGAGCAGCTTCTAGCTATGATGACTCTTCTATCCTCTCAGTTGTCTGATACTTTGATGAAACTAGTATTATTATGTTTTGTTCAAGAGTTACATTTTTGCACAAATACATTTTTCTATCTTCCTCTTACAATTTGTCTAATGTTTAAAAAAAAAATTGCTTATTTCTTTATTCACCATTTCTGCTGAGATGTTTCATAATTTTTATTCATGAGAATCAATTTTAGAAACACTAATTTAGACCATTTGAAATAAAAATAGAATATTTTAAAGGGAAACAAAACAAAATACTGCAGTTACTGCCCTTATTCACCAGTTTTACAGTAAAAACATTGGGTCTTAGCCTGAGATTTTGTAGCTTCTCTGGGCAACAGAGTTAGAGAGTCCTTTCCTTTTGAAAGATGATGATCTTCAGATTTTGTGAGGGCCCTCTGGGAGCAAGTGAACAGTGTGGAAGCGCAAATAGATCATTAGGGTCTGAGGAGAATGGCGCTGCAAGGAGTTACCTGGGTATTTGGCCGATGCTCAACATTCAAGGAAAAGGCAAGACGGATATACAATCAACAGTCACTGATGCCATCAGAATTAGAACTCTTCGTTTGCTGCTGAAGATGGGAATGGAGCGCTTATGGGAGTGTCCCAATGTGCTATGATGTCGATTGTTATTTCAACATTCAACATTCCTTTTGAAATCTGTTTAACCTATTTGTGTATTGTGCACATATTTTGGATATTTTCTCTAGGTAATTCAACATTCAACATTTATTGTGCACACATGCGCGAGCACACACACACATGTTCTAGCAATTATTTCTATTCCCTAGGTTTGAAATGTCCTTGCTTTATATTGACGATGCCCAGCTGCAATTTCCCAATGACACCTACACATTTCTGAAAGAGATGGACACTTCAGAATTTATTGAATGCGATTACACAAGAGCATATCATTTTTACTCCACCTACCGTTCTGATCAAAGTAAAGAGGTGGAGTTGTTCAAGAGGAAATCCAGACAGCTTTTGTTAACTGTTAAAAATGTTTTGGATTTGATGGGAATTCGATTTTGGTTAAGCAGTGGAACCTGTTTAGGTAAGATCTTTGAAATAATCAAATTATTCTTAGTCGAGGTTAATTATACAAACTCGCCCCCTTGTGGGATGCAATTTTTTGTTATTTTGAAGCCCCACCCTGGCTGTTGCCAGGGACCTTAAAATAACCAAAAGGTGGAAGGGGGTTTTCCGGGACCTATCCACGGGTGATCCTCAAGTGCATTGTAACACTTTATGTCATCAGGTGTTTATTGCTCTGTGTGATGTCCTGGTGTGGTAAAATTTACTTACTACTTAGTCGAGGTTATAAAAGCAAACATAATGGCTCTCTATCAAAATAGCCAGAGCGCTGTAAGAACAACGGAAGGTATGACAGACTGGTTCCCCATTACATCAGGAGTACGACAAGAATGTGTTTTATCACCCCCTACTCTTCATCACATATATGGATAAAATTGCACAGGAGTCAAACCAAAACACAGATATTATAAATGAACTACTCTTTGCAGGTGACCAGTGTTTGTTACAAGAAGAAGAACAAAAACTACAACAACATGTTGATTCATTGATCACTAACTGTACAAAATTTGACATGAAAATAAACACCTCAAAAACTGAAGTAATGACCATAGGAAAGAAACACAGTAATGTAAACATAAAGATCAATGACATACAATTAGAACAAGTTCAAGAATTCAAGTACTTAGGATGCATATTTACAGAAGATGGAAGACTCGATAAAGAGATACAGGCTAGAGTTCAAAAAGCCAATGCAGTCAACTACCAACTGGCTCCACTTCTTCGTCATCCAAAGATCTCGTTACCAGCCAAACAACGGATGATCAACAGCATTTTCATCCCTACGTTATGTTATCAGTGCCAAACGTGGACAATGAACAAATCACAAATGCAAAAAATAACTACGTGTGAAATGCGATGTCTCCGAAGAGTCACCAACAATACACGAAGAGACAGAGTCACAAACGTCAGCATTAGAGACAAAGTTGGAACAAGAGCAGGCATGAAACATATTGAAAGACAGAGAATGAAGTGGTTTGGCCATTTAGTAAGAATGCAACCGGATCAGATTGCCTATAAGGCCTTTTACAGTAGAACATCGGGAAGAAAGGCCAGAGGAAGACCCAGGAAAAAATGGATAGATGGAGTAGCTGAATACGGCCAGAAGATCCAGGAAACTGTCACTCAAATCAGGCGAGAGGCACAAAACAAATATTTTAAACCACGACACTGGGCTGCAACCCGGTAAAAGTGAAGAAGACAATAGATAGATATACAAAAGCACTGCAGACTGGTCACCTCAAAACTGCTGCTTTCCTGTGCCTGTGGGAATCACACAAATTATTCCTCAGTTTTCCATTTGTAAACTAAGGAAAACTTGTCAGTCCTGGCAGCATGTTGAAGCCTGCACATGCAAAGTTAAAATGCATAAGGTAATTGTCATGTGTGTTAAACGACAATGAAAGATAGAGGATGGAATAATAATAATTAAAATGTTTGACTGGATAAAACATCCTTCTTCACTGATTGCTAAGATCATCTAGGGGGTTTGGATACTCTGGGCTTAGAGATTAGAACATAAGTTTAACTCTTTCATGATGCTTCACTACCAGGGTTAGATTGGGGAGAAAAACCATTCTTATGGTTTTTTGACAGTAGTATGAAAGATTTTATGTGTGCCATGGTCATAAAAGTGGTAAGTATTTTTTTTCTTAGTGAACAGAGTAATGATGGCTAACATGAACAGCAAAAACTAAATACATAAAACAGGCGAATGGGAGTAGACCACGAGGTAGACCAAGAAGACAGGGTAGAGGTAATATACAAATAGGTCTGCATACAGATCTGTAAAAACAAATGTGCATGCAAAACTCAAGTTCTGGAATAAGACCAAGGTCCAGAAGTAGACATACAACCAGAACTTTCCACCAGAGTTTACAGCCATTGAATACAAAGAAGAAGACGAAGTTTCATAAATGTCCCACATTTGTGTGCTGACTAAATGAAAGACATTGTTCATCTACCAGGTTGGTTTCGGCAGTGTGATTTCATCTCACATACTACAGATGTAGACATTGGTATATTTATCACAGAGTATAGAGAGGAGTTGGTGAGCTTTCTGGAGAATGCCGGCTTTGTTTTAACACATCGTTTTGGCAGGGTTAGTACAATCTGTGATTATTGTGTGAACTTATATATATATATATGTTTGTGTGTGTATATATGTGTGTGCATATATATATATATATGTGTGTGAAAGTTATATACATGTGCGAGGATACATGTACTCTGGTATGAAATGCATTGTTAGTTTTATTATTTGGCATGCTGTGTACACTAACAGGTCAACCCAGCCTTGAGTGGGTACCGGGTTGCAGTCCCGGGAAGTAGAGGTGGCCGGCGTGATGCTGACCACATCACCCATCTTGTGCCGATTAGTCTATAAAAATTAAAGTCTAACCCTATATGCTCTGTACGCCTAAAGGCACGAAAAAGGGACCTTTACCTTTTTTTTTAAATGCTGTGTACACTTTTTGGAAATTCTTAACTAGTTAAGTTAAAGTCAAGAGAATTGACCTAATTGTCACAGGTTGTCCAATATGTCCTGGTCTTTCTCAGCAAGATGGCTGGTTGCCGGGTGAGAGTGTCACATAAGGCATGAGCTCCATAGCTCCGATGACAACCCCCAGAGATCTCTGTAAAAACTCAGTGAACTGGATGTTACATTTGTGACATGAATCCAAGATCTTTAGATCATGAGGCAAATGGTTTGGCCACAGGAGCCCTCAATTTTTAACTCAAACCCAAGAAACAAAGAGAAAAATAGATTTTATAGGTTCTGTTCAGTGCTAATTACATTTACTTGATCATTCAGGAAGATGGCAAACTTATTTGGAGTTGAGTGCTCAGAAAAATCTGTATGCTTTTTTTCTATGAGCTTACTGTAATTTTCTGCATCAAAGAAAACACAAGTTATTTATGGAAGAATGGGTTGAAAGATTTCAGTTTCCACTTTTGGTTTAAAAATCATAGATGGCCAAACCATTTAATGTATTGCTCTTTAAAAAATCGTATAACTAGTTTCAGTCCTAGTCTTCTGTTTTTGTGTTGTTTTTTTTTGGATCTTAAAATGTTTTTTGTGTGTGGGTGTGTGTCTTTGTTACTTTGTTATTTCTTAAAAGAATCTGATCTTTTAGTGCCGTTAACTTATTAAAGCTTTTCTTATTTTCCAGGTGTCTGATAGCCTTGAGTTATCTTTCCTGTTTGGCGACATCAAGTTGGATATATTTTTCTTCTATGTCACAGACAACCACATATGGAATGGTGGGACACAGGCTAGCACCGGAAATAAATACAAGTATGTACGGTTATTGTTCGTATGTTAACAAATATTTTCTGCCATCTCCACAATGAAGATTGGCTAGAGGATAGCCACTGTTGTTGTCCTTTGGGAATATGTGATGAGGCCCCAGTCTCTTCCATGGTGTGATTCTCATACTGCTGTTTGAAAACTATGGGAGCAGTAAACTGTTCCCCCCATGGAAATGGAACTCTGGTTTTCAAGAATCCTGAAATTGTTAAAAGTATTCGCTTATCTCTATGCCACAGAGATATTGTTATATTGTGAAGCTTGCTAATATACTTTTCGTTCGGTTTTATATCTTTTCTTGATATTTTTTTAGCTCCACAGCAGTTCATTAATTACATCTGCTTCATGTGGTCCCCCCCCCCCCCCCAGCCTAGAACTGCTACTATCTGTTTGAACCTGTCCCACTCGTCCATTATTATTTTTTTTTAAATTAAAAAAAATACTTTGAACCCCAGCTAAGTGATTTTGTGTATTTGTGTGGTATTGTTTGACTTGTGTATGTGCTGATGAACGCTCCAAAGCTGCAATGTTCACGTTTTGTTTAAATTTGTTATATTGTGAAGCTTGCTAATATACTTTTTGTTCGGTTTTATATCTTTTCCTGATATACTAGTAACACTGTAGACTACTGTGTATCTTATGAGTTGAGTTGCAATCAGTTATTGGCCAACATGAAATACTCTGAACGTTCCCATAAGCGCTTTATCCCTGTCTGTAGCAGCCAGTGCAGTGATCCATTTTTGATGGTATCAGTAGCAGTTTGATTAAACATTCGTTTTATTTTTTTCCTCAGTATTGAGTTTCGGCCATATTCCTTTTTCTCTGTCTGCTGCACGATTCTTTCCAGACCATGATGATCTGTTTGTGCTTTAGTGTTGTGTTTCATCCATCACAGGTGATGATAACCAGTCCTTTCATCCATTGGTGACTGGGTTAGGTTTTGCAAGTGTGTAGATGGCTGAAAAGGCGTGTTCTACCACTGAAAGTTCTTGAGCATTGGGGACAGGGAATCAAAGCTGCAGCTCTCTGGTGGTTTGCTTCAGTGTCTTTCCTGGCTTGTCTTGTCTGAATTGCTGCTGCAGTTCTGTGCAGTTTTCAGGGGTCACAGTTCCTCGATGAAGAGCCGAGTGCCAGGATGAGCGGTCACATGCAGTGACTTACCAGGTTATGGGATCAACACATAACACTGAAATTAACACCCATGACCAACCTTTAGCTCCGCGCTCCGGGACCTGCATGGCTCTCGCTAAGCGCGTGCAAACGACTGTTAGTCGTGATTCTCCAGAAAAATCTCTTCCACAACTTCTTGCACATCGGGGACCTTTGCACTCGTCTCTCACCTCAAGCCACATGGGCCCCTTTTGCCCACGTCTCTGCTACCATCATCATCATGTGCCTTACGACTGGCAATAGGCAATCACGCCTCTGACCAGCCCAGTGAATTTAGCACACAACACCAGTGAGGTCTTGAGGCTGTCCTTGAAATGTTTCTTCTGTCCACCTTGAGAGTGTTTTCCTTTTTGTAGCTCACCATACAAAATACTCTTTGGCAGTCATGGCAGGTGGCCAGAGAAGGAGTGGGAGGAAGTCATACAACTGTATGAATAAGGGTGGGAAATGGCACCTGTGTAAGAAAAATATGTAATGTGGCACCTGTGTAAGAAAAAAATATGCAGTGTGGCCCTGTGTGAGAGAAGCTTTTCAGTATATTTGTGTGAGAGACTATATAATTTATTATTATGTGAAGGAAACATTTGGTGGTGCTTATGCAAGAAAAATGAACACAGTGTGCAACTAAATATGAGAGAAAATGTTTTAACATGATTTTTGTATCAGGGAAAATATGTAGTTTGATATTATGTGAGAAAATAGAAAGTGGTACTTGTTCTAGATAGAATGTGTAATGTGATAATTTTGGAAAGAATATGGTGTATGAAAAGAGCATGGAAGGAACAAATATTTTGCGAATTGTACATGTGTTATGAATTTAGGTGTATAGGATATATATATATATATATATATATATATATATATATATATATATATATATATATATATATATATATATATATATATATATATATATATATATATATATATATATATATATATATATATATATATATATATATATATATATATATATATATATATATATATATATTTTTTTTTTTAAATAATTTTTTTTTATATACTATAGATAAGTATTCTCTATACGAATAATGCATTGAGAGAAACAGTCATTTGCAAATCATTCATGTTTGATGAATTTAGGTGTATAGAATACATATATATATCTTTAAATACCTGATTATACTGTATACAAGTACACTCTATAAACACAGCTTTGAGAGAAGCAATCATTTGTGCATCACACTTATTTTGTGAATTTATATGTGTAGAATATATATATATATATATATATTGATTTACCTGAATATACCATATATAAGTATGCTCCTTAGGAATAGAGAGTTAAGAGGAACAGTCATTTACCTTTAATGATGGAGCACTTTGTAGTTTGCCCAGCAATCAGAAGTGAATAACATAATACATTTGGGAACAATGTCAGAGCTAAGTACCTATGAAAACATAAAATGGTTTGGTCATGTAATGAGTATCTTAGTAGAGACTGACTCCCAGACAACAATACTGTGTTTAAATAATTATGCCTTAGCAAAAACTGTATTTATTGTGTGAAGAGTTAGGCCTTCACATTCAGTATTTATTTAGACCTTCAATCTTGTCAAAAATCACATCTCTGCAGCGAGAAGATGAAGTTTTTCTGTATATTTTACAAATGATGAAACAATAGTATGTAACAAAAGTAGACCCTTTTAAAATGTATATATTTGTTCATTGTTTCCACTGATAACCCACATTCGTGCTCTGATGTATTATTTCCACCAAGAACCTTGTTTGATGCCAAATTCCAACTATCCTTGATGTGATATGTCATTTATAATGTCATCAGACACAAAATGTGTCATAAATTGCTGTTTCCACCTCTATCCATGCTCATTATTCACCGTCCTATGGTGTCTTGTGACATCATGTCATTTATTATGTCATCACACACAAATTATGTCAAATTCCAGTTATTCTTGGTATCTTATGACATCATGTCATTCATATTGTTGTGCAAGGAGTCTCTCATTGATTGCTGGGTTTTCACCTGTCCATGCACATTCTCCATCTGTTTTTGATGTCTTGTTTCTTCATATCATCACACACTAATTGTTCTTCAGTTGCTGTTTTCACCTGTTGCTGTGCTCAGTTTCCAAAACTGCTGCTTTTGTTACCTCTCTTGTTGCTGTTAACTCCTTAATGTCCAAGGCACACTTTTGTGAAACAAATAAATAATTATTCAATTTTGTTGAGAAATGATGAAATAATACTGTATAAAACAGAAGTAGGCTCTCTTTAAATTGTCATTAATTACTGTGTATTCACCTCAGTGCGTGGATTTTTATCATGGTATAGGGTGTCGCAGGTTGACCCAGCCTAAAATGGATGTAAGTCCTGGGGAAGTAAAGATGGCCGGCATAATGCTGACCACATTACCCACCTAGTGCCGATTGGTCTGGAAACAAATATTGGGTGTCTCCCCATATGCCTGATGCGCCTAAAGGCATGAAAAGAGATCTTTACTACTTACTCTACTGTATTCACCTCTATCCATGCTCTGTCTTCACGACTATTGCTTTTGTTCTTGCTGTTCTCATTGCTTCTAACTTCTGCATTGCCTAGGCATAATGTGTACTATATTTATAAATTATAAAATATATTTGATTTGTAATGGGGACTCTGTATGTTTTACAAATGATGAAATAAAAATATATAACACAGAAGTTGTTTTATCCATGTAGAAGTTTTTTTTCCCATGTTTATTGTCTCTACTGATCGTCCACATTCACAATGTGTTACTTTCAACTAAGAATCTTGTTTATTTTTAAATTTTAGCTGAGCATCCCTGGTCGGAGCACTGTTCTGTATGGCAGTCATGCCAGTGTTGATGGCGGTTGTGACTAGCAAGGCCAGCTTGCCGTAAGAAGAATCTTCATCATCAGTTTCCACTTCTGCCGTTAAGCATTGTGGGGAGAAATAGTTTGCGATCCACTGCTTAATGGGAAGCAACGGCTTTTATCATTCCATGTTGATGTAGAAGCTTTTTAATGTCATCAATCCGTATTCTTCTCTTGCCTTCACTTCAGATTTTTCATGCATAGGTATATTGTTCTGGCTGCATCCTTACTAAATGACTAAACCATTTAATCTTCTGTTCCTCAATGAATTTGCTGCATGGTGTTGTTCGTACAGTCTGTCTGATAACATCATTTCTAACTTTGTCTTGGACGGTTAAGTTGGTGGCTTTTCTCAATCATCTCATTTCGCAGGTGTTAATTTTAGGTGGATTAGCCTTTAATAATCTCCAAGTCTGGCACTGGTAGCACAGTGATGGTATGGATGCTGTTTATAATCTTGGCTTTTTCTCAGGCAACTCATTTCACAGGTGTTCTTTTTATGTATGTTAGCCTTTGATAATGTCCAGGTCTGGCACCGGTAACACAGTGTTGGTATGAATGCTGTTTACGATCTTGGTGCTCATACTTATGTTTGGATGTCTTAATAATGATGTCTGTACTTATATAAGTGCACTGGCTAGTTGCCATCTTGTTTCTATTTCCCGGTCTATTTTTCCGTCCTGCGAGAATCATCCACAATAAATGCCTGAGATTTCATCACTATTGTTGCCATCACACATATTTGACTTGTCAATTGCAGAAAGCTTAAGCAGTTTTGTAGAGACCATGTGTTGCTCATGCAGCATCATCCTTCCCTCTACCTATTTTGTTAGCTCAAAAAAGGAAAGGTAACACCAATACCTTTGGAGCAAAACATGCTGCAGAAGCTGCTGGACCAGAAGAGCATTGCTATCTGCCTGTCCTCTATCAGAACTTCCCTCCTTGACTAGCTGCCAACCAAGG